TATATATATATATATATATATATATATATATATATATATATAATTTTTCTGGATAAAAAAGCCTCTAAATACACTATATCATGTCATTCATAAAATTTCAAAATGAACAGCAAAAGATCAAAAGGTCTATCGTGGGATAAATATGCACAACATATCAGTTATATTAATTGAGTAAATAGAACAAGATAGTATAAAGCACCAATGAATATCACGGATCACCGAAAGTGAGATAAGCTAAAGCACGTGTTAATGTTAAAAAAGTTAAATTATACCAAAAACACATTTCAAAATTGTAGATTCATTACACTGTGTATTGACGATCGTGCTCCTCATTCAATTGCCTTTGAGTAACAGATACATCAAATCCTTCTTTTGGAAGGCTGAAAAGCTCCCTAAGATCCTGCAAGGGATGAATGGAAGATTACACCCAATAACAACTTTATTGAAGATGCAAATGTATTTTTGTCAACTAAAAAAATATCCCACTAAACTTGTACCTGCTGGCTAAAGTACCGAATTTGTTCTTTATGTTCAGTAGCAGTTTTGAATAATCCTCCCTTATATACCTATAAAACATGCAATTTCAGTGTGAAAAAAGTCAATGTCTAAAGTACATATTTTTTGCCCATGTAGTTCAATCAAAACTGTGACATACATACCCACACCATACATATATAAAATTATACATACGCACATAATCACTTTTTTCAGCATGCATGTATGCATACTTATATACCGGTATATGTATCCATGTTCATTGCATTAATACTTCACAAAAACAATGAAAAGGGAAAAAATTTACCTGCTTCCTGTAGATCTTTTCTTCAACAGTTCCACATGTCATCAATCTATATACAATAACATCTTTCATTTGACCAATTCGATATGCACGGTCAACGCTTTGATTATCCGTACTGTTAGAAACAATGAAATTATAGCGTTTTACAAGAAACATAAGCAAAAATACCTCCCTCAAGGAAGGACTCAAATTAATAGATCTATGCAATCAACACTAGCTTAATCTAGGGCCGAATGCAAAATAGCTTAATCTCAATCGGATATAAGGCTAATATACCAAAACGATCAAATGCAAAATAAGAAACAAAATAACTAATATTCACAGGAGGAATTTTTATCTAGCTGCATGTACGGTGAAATTTTAGGACATTAAAGCCACTAGGAGCAAATTTTGCAAGAGATAACAGAAAAGCTAGAGAGAGGAGGCATGTATTTAGCTTTGCAGCCATTTTCACTCTCCCGAGAAACAAAATGACATAATATTTTAATTACCATTCAAAGACCAAAAAATAACCTTCGAAATCCTCACTTGAAAAAAGATTAAATAAAATATCAACTTTTTTTCATCACTTTTACACTTGAGTTTTAAAACAATCTTCTCAAACATAATAGGAAAACTGGGGCGGGGGGAAAGGGGGAAATGTTTTAGCATCAATTCAACACCCTGGTGACAGTTAACGATGTTCAAAGAACAGTCAATGAATCATTCATTTACTGACTTGGCAAACCACTTAACTAAATAATATTTCCTAAATTAGAAAATACCAATAATTCCACCTTTTTGTAAATTTTCCACAAAAATTAGATTAAATTTAAAGTCATGGTAAAGGACTACTTTAAAACTTACCTTGGGTTCCAAGCAGGATCAACTACAATCACACGATCTGCTCTTGTAAGTGTTAATCCTAAACCACCAACCTGAGATGTCAAGAGAAATATAGGAGCTCCAACACCTTCTTGGAAATCCTGAAATTAAAACAACAGGTGGCATAACACAGAAGAACATTTAGGAAATTGAGAAGGTTACTAAGTTAACCGTGCAAAGCACTTACATTAACAATTTGTAGTCTGTCACTGGCTTTTGTTGTGCCATCAATTCGTAAAAAGTCATAACCTTTATATAGTAGACATTCCTATATAAAGCAATAGAAAACACTTAAAAATCATGTCTCGAAGAAAAGCATACAACAATAAAATGATGAAGCAAGGATACTGACATACATGAAACAGTTAAGCAAATGTTTGACTCTTCCAATAATTGAAAAACATTAGGAAATAATTTCTGAACCAACCTGAATAAGATTAAGCATCTTGCGAGTCTGAGAAAATATAAGCACACTATGCCCTTCTGGGATCAACTTATCCTACAGCATAAAATATGAAATATAACATTATGCAAAGTAGTAAAAACTAGTATATAAACTGCGAGATCAGGACTTACCAATAATGACATAATGAAGGAAATTTTGCATGACACATCTTGCTCATCTTTAAACTTATCTGTGTCTGCAACATCTGCTATGTGCATTGCCAATTTTTCTGCAACATTAGCCTCTTCTGGCTTTAGCATTGACTCCATGCCTTCCAACACATCCTCAGCTGCTCGCTTTGTCAACAGAAGCGGATGATCACATATTTTCTTCAAAATCTGATCATTTAAAAGATTTTTCAAAAGATGAAGGCATAGCCAGATAAGAGGGGGGGAAACATTATATGAACACAGCAAGAAAGACAGTAGCATAAATAACATGACAAAAATTACAGTAAGGGCAGCCAGCGGTGAGCCATCAAATGCTGAGAGAACAATCTCACTCTTTAAAAATGCTTCATAAAGATGCCGCTAGAGGAAATACAAATAAAATAAAGTCGTCAAAATATGTAAGTGTAACCTTGTAAAATAAAATGAAAAACAACAAAGAATTGCATATTAAACCTGAACACTGGTCAGTCGAAGCCACACAATGATCTCTTGTTTCTGAGAAAGCTTTGCAGATGTTTGCTCGTCATCTTGACTGAAAACCTCACTCTTCAAACGTCTCAAAAAGTAAGGCTGAATACGATCTCTTAGTTCCTAGTGAGAAAGGAGCAGTGATAACACTTAAGCCAAAGTGAAATTTGTTATCAATTGATGATCAGAATATGACAGATCACTGCATAAGTACATATTATTACAATGAAATCCATTATATTCTAATATTTTATCAAGGAACAGATTAAAGTGGAATAGTAGAAAGCATAACTAAACAAATTCATATTGTAAGCTCAAGATCAAAACTAATGTAAAGGCCAAGACTCAAACTAGATTTTGGAACACTAATAATCCTTACCTTTGCTACAGATGAACCAATACGCTTCTCCCTGTCAGAAGCATTTTTGTCATTTCCACGAAGTATGGGTGTCTCAAATTTTTCTTTGAACCTGAGGGATTATATATTTTTTTAAGTTACAAGAACCTTAACTAAATTAAGAATGTAGCCTGAAAATTATTATTACCATTTGTTGTCACCAAGTAACTCTGGGCAACAGAAATTGAACAATGCCCACAACTCCTGTTAGGAAGTTTTAAGAATGAAAACCATTAAATAAGGTAGAATAATCTAAATTTCAATCATTATTACAAAAAGCAAAGCAGAAACACCATGTTAAAAAAAATTGATTGGTGATTATAAAATGAGACAGTTTATACCAAAATACCTTCAAATTATTTTGCAAAGGCGTGCCACTAATGATAATGCGATGAGCACTTGGTATTTCAAGCAAACTTTTAGCCCTTTGTGTGCTTGGGTTCTTTATAAGGTGCCCCTAAAGTTAAGAACATTTGGAAAACAAGAAAAAATTAAAACATTTTCATATTATTGAAATTTCAGTACACTACTGAATGAACAACATGAATAGATACTCATAAGCAGCCACATAACAGTCCCTACTACTTAAATGTGACAAGAAACTTACAAGGTGAGCTTATTACATGAGCATACCAGAATACTACACAAGTCAAATTTCACACTGAATCTTTGGACCCCATTAATAATGACATAGTTATTTGTATGTCTAGTTAATAAGCAATACTGCACAGCATGCAGCCATGTACAACATATGTATACATTTGTTGTTTCTGCCATAACTAATTTAACAAACACTTCACCGCTCCAACTTCAAATTTACTTTACCCCCTTTCCTGCTATTTGGAAGCTTTATCTTCCTTTCTAATAAAAGTTGATTAAGCTGGGTTGAAATGCTAACTGACTACCTTAATTATTTACAAAATTAAAAGAAGTCCATAAAAGGAAACAAAGCAGTAAGGCAAAATATGCATGACAAAAATGGACTGCAAGTAAACAATCCAAGCACCCACCATTCAATAGGTTTTAAATAAAACAAACTCATCCTTACTTCATCAAGTATCATGTAGTCCCATGTAGTGCCATCTTCACTTTCATCGTCATCAAAATAATTATCCCCCCGTAAGGACTTAGAATTGTTGCGGACAATATCATATGTTGTGAGAAGAACTCCTTTGTCCTAGAAAGAGGCATGAGAGTATAGTTGAAGATTGGCAGAAACAAATAACTCAGAAACATCCAAATAGCAAGAAATCTCAAGCAATCAATTAAACATCCACAAGTGAACCAAATTTAACTGAGTATTTTCCAAAATAAATTGAGGCAGTCACCCCCCCTCCCATAAAATAGTTCCCCTTCCAAATCCCCTTCCTTATCCTGTATTCCTGACAGTCAATAGGCACAGGTATGAATTTAACGTTGAAGGTATTTCTCAGTTTAATTAAGAAAAACAAGAAAGATCTATAACCTGAAGTATGTACTGAAGTTCATATTCTCTGAGTTTCGTAGAAGTTCCAAAATATCTGCAGAAAAGCACAAATTGTTGGTTCTTGTTCTTAATAGAAATGTTTCAACGTTGCATTTCAGATAAACTACTCAGATGAATAAATTAAGGCAGCCTCACTCTCTTGTCTTCTCGGATAGACCAACAGCTGCCAATTCTTTAATCCAATGTGGCAATAAGGTTTTCGGTGCTACAACCAATACCCTTCTAATTAAACGAGAATGAAAGAGTCCAGCTAGAAAGCCACACATCTGCAAACCATCCAGCATTGACAATCATGAACCAGCTATTGCAAAATACAATTTCTCAAGGTTCTGCTATTCATTTCCTTACCTGCATTGTTTTCCCCAAACCCATGTCATCCCCCAAGATTCCACCTTTTCCCAGACAATGCAAAGACCAGAGCCACTTCAATCCCTCCCGCTGATGCGGATACAACATTTTTGCAATTTTAGCCTGCAACTTGTAAGTCGATCTGGGGCCAGTCAAAGTTATAGACCCATCATTCTCAGGCTCAAAATGATCCACCTCTTGAACAGAGTCATCTGAATCATACTCAATACCGCCACTCCCATCATTCTTAGCACCCTCTGACAAGCTCTCCTGTGGTTGAGAGAACGAAGACCCTGCACTCCCATACTCTAAACCCTCGTCATCACAACTTTCTTTCCCTCCAACCAAACCCTCAACACGCTTCGGAGCCGGCTTCCTCTCAACCGATAACAACTCAAACTTGGAGTTCAATTCATTCAAAATATCCCTAATTTCGTTCTTGCCCCCACTCTCCTCAATCTGGATTGTGTTCCTCGGGCCCGGAACCGGCGAATCAAGGTCGATGAGTTCATCAAACTTGGACTCATCAACTGCCACACTTTTGCTGGCATCTTCATGCACAACCTTGCAGAGGCGGCGTCGCCCCTGCACTTTCACCTTCGTCTTCTTTTCTTCCTCTGAAAAAAAAAAAAAAAAGACTTTAGCGACGCTGCTAATTACATAATCAAGCATGGCGGAGAAGACAGCACTCACTAGGGTAAGAAATAGCCACGTGAGGTGGAGCTTCTTGTTGTTCTTGAAGCTTGATCGGTTCGTGTTTCTCATCCGAATTTTGCCCTAATAACGGAGTAAGGCAGATTTTAACGAGGGTGGTGATTGCAGATTGAGGTGAAACAGAAAAGGATGAGACTTACTAGGAGTAGCGGAAGATTGAACATAAAGATGGGGAACATCGTTGGATGAAGCTTGTTGTTGTTCCTTGTTTGGTTCGTCCGTGTTGAACCCTAATAATAGTAGTAGCAATTGTTATACTTGTGGGAAATGAGGAGTGAGGATTAAATAGAGAGTGAAGGTACCGATTGGAGAATCAAAATCGGTGATTATGGAAAAGTGAGGGATGTTTTGGTGTTGTTGGTTTGTGGTGGAGGATTCATCTGTGGAAAAGTAGAGTGTGAGTGTGATTGAGGAGAGACGTAGAAATGAAAAGAAGGAAGTGAGAAACATACCGAAAGAGGGCTTGGGAGGAGCAGAGTGATCTTGGAGGAAGCGATAGTGACTATCGTTGAGGCTCATTGCTTTCTTCGTCTTGTTCGCCATTTTTCTTCTCTTCTCAAGCCAATGCCAAATCACGCTTTTATTCCCTCACTCCTGCGCTTCCCGCTTGCTTTCCTATTTTTGAATTTCATCCACTTTAACCTTCTTATCAATACTAATATATAAAGGGAATACCCTTTTCAAAAATTACCTTGATCTCTACTTTTTCTAATCATTATATTCTTTTATTTTTAAAAATTAAAAAAAATATTTTTAATCAAATTTAAAAATTTCAAACTAATAAATCTATATTAATATATAAAGGAAATTTTATTGTCAATAACTATTTTTGGTTTTTATTTTTATATGGATCATTTTTTCCTTTATTTATTTTTTAATAATTTTTTTATGAGTAATTTTTCATTTTTTTATTTTTTTTATTTTTTATTTTAATACAATGCAGGAAGGTAGTGCCCCTTTCCTACTAGATAAATAATACAATTGTATAAATAATTTTACAAGAAAACATATCTAATAGAAAAGAATGGAGGAACAAATATGCACGAACAATTTTTGTTCCTTTCGATTCGTATAAACATATCTCCTTTGCATGAATTATCCAATACGAAGTGCCTCGGCCCCACTAGATAAATAATACAATCGTATAAATAATTTTACATTATTTATTACTATTATACCTTGAATGTAAAAAAAAAATCTTATATTTTCTAAAATTTCTAATATTTGTCTATGTATAATTATTAGAAGCACGAAGTGCCTCGACCCCTCTAGTAAATAAAGGGGATATCATTGTCAATAACTATTTTTTGGTTTTCATTTTTACATGGACCATTTTATCCGTTGTTTATTTTTTAATAACTATCTTTTTATGAGTAACTTTTTATTTTTTTCTTTTTTATTTATTTTTTTCTTTTATCTATACTAATATATCTATACTAATCTATACTAATCTATCTATACTAATATATAAAAGGGATACTTTTTTTGGTAACTACCTTGGTCTCCACTTTTTTGGACCATTATACCCTTTTATGTTAAAAAATTAGAAAAAATATTTTTTAATCAAATTTAAGAAGTTGAAACTAATAAATCATTTTTACAATAATTACTTTTAGTTTTTATTTTTACATGAATCATTTTATTCTTTATTTATTTTTTAATAATTACTTTTTTATGAGTAATTTCTCATTTTTTTAATACAATCCAGGCACGAAGTGCGTTTTTCCTGCTAGTATATATAAAGGGGATACCTTTATATATAAAGGGGATACCTTTTTCGGTAAGTACCTTGGTCTCCACTTTTTTTGACCATTATAACCTTTTATTTTAAAAAATTAGAAAAAATATTTTTAAACAAATTTACAAACTTCAAACTAATAAATCTATACTAATATATAAAGGGAATATCATTGTCAATAACTATTTTTGGTTTTCATTTATATATGGACCATTTTATCCTTTGTTTATTTTTTAATAATTATCTTTTTATGAGTAACTTTTCATTTTTTTATTTTTTCTTTTAATACAATGCAAGCACGTAGTGCCTTTTTCCTACTAGATAAATAATACACGTATAAATAATTTTACAAGAAAACATATATGATAGAAAAGAATGGACGAACAAATATGCACGAACTATTTTTGTTCCTTTCGATTCGTATAAACATATCCCCTTTAAGGATACCCTTTTCGGTAACTACCTTGGTCTCCACTTTTTTTGACCATTATACCCTTTTTATTTTAAAAAATTAGAAAAAATATTCTTAATCAAATTTATAAACTTCAAACTAATAAATCTATACTAATATATAAAGGGGATATCATTGTCAATAACTATTTTTGATTTTCATTTGTATATGGACCATTTTATCCTTTGTTTATTTTTTAATAATTATATTTTTATGAGTAACTTTTTATTTTTTTATTTTTTTATTTTTTCTTTTAATACAATGTAGGCACGTAGTGCCTTTTTCCTACTAGATAAATAATACAATCGTATAAATAATTTTACAATAAAACATATATGATAGAAAAGAATGGAGGAACAAATATGCACGAACTATTTTTGTTCCTTTCGATTCGTATAAACATATCCCCTTTAAATGAATTATCCAATACGAAATGCCTCGGCCCCCACTAGATAAATAATACAATCGTATAAATAATTTTACATTACTTATTACTATTATACCTTAACTGTAAAAAAAATAATCTTATTTCTTCTAAAATCTCTAATATTTGTCTATGTATAATTATTAGAGACACGAAAGTGCCTCGGCCTCTCTAGTATATAAAGGGGATATCATTGTTAATAACTATTTTTGGTTTTTATTTTTACATGACCATTTTATCCTTTGTTTATTTTTTCAATAGCTATCTTTTTATGAGTAACTTTTCATTTTTTTTTTTTTTATCTATACTAATATATAAAGGGGATACCCTTTTCGGTACTTTTTTTGATCATTATACTCTTTTATTTTAAAAAATTAGAAAAAAATATTTTTAATCAAATTTAAAAACTTCAAACTAATAAATTTATACTAATATATAAAGGGGATATCATCGTCAATAATTATTTTTGGTTTTCATTTGTATATGGACCATTTTATCCTTTGTTTATTTTTTAATAATTATCTTTTTATGAGTAACTTTTCATTTTTTTTCTTCTTTTAATACAATGCATATACGTAGTGCCTTTTTTCTACTAGATAAATAATACAATCGTATAAATAATTTTACATTACTTATTACTATTATACCTTGAATGTAAAAAAAAAACTTATATCTTCTAAAATCTCTAATATTTGTCTATGTATAATTATTAGAGGGACGAAAGTGCCTCGGCCTCTCTAGTATATAAAGGGAATATTATTGTTAATAACTATTTTTTGTTTTATTTTTACATGGACCATTTTATCCTTTGTTTATTTTTTAATAACTATCTTTTTATGAGTAACTTTTCATTTTTTTCTTATTTATTTATTTTTTTCTTTTATTTATACTAATATATCTATACTAATACTAATATATAAAAGGGATACTCTTTTCGGTAACTATCTTGGTCTCTACTTTTTTTTACCATTATACCCTTTTATTTTAAAAAATTAGAATTTTTTTTAATCAAATTTAAAAACTTCAAATTAATAAATCTATACTAATATATAAAAAGGATATCATTGTCAATAACTATTTTTAGTTTTCATTTTTATATGGACCATTTTATCCTTTGTTTATTTTTTAATAATTATCTTTTTATGAGTAACTTTTCATTTTTTTCATTTTTTTTATTTTTTCTTTTAATACAATGCAGACACGTAGTGCCTTTTTCCTACTAGATAAATAATACAAGAAAACATATATGATAGAAAATAATAGAGAAACAAATATGCACGAACTATTTTTGTTCCTTTCGATTCGTATAAACATATCTCTTTTGCATGAATTATCTAATACGAAGTGCCTCGGTCCCCAGTAGATAAATAATACAATCGTATAAACAATTTTACATTACTTATTACTATTATACCTTGAATGTAAAAAAGAAATCTTATATCTTCTAAAATTTCTAATATTATGTCTATGTATAATTATTAGAGGCACGACGTGTCTCGGCCTCTCTAGTACTAATATATAAAAGGGATACTCTTTTCGGTAACTACCTTGATCTCTACTTTTTTTGACCATTATACCCTTTTATTTTAAAAATTAGAAATTTTTTTTAATCAAATTTTAAAACTTCAAACTAATAAATCTATACTAATATATAAAGAGGATATCATTGTTAATAACTATTTTTAGTTTTCATTTGTATATGGACTATTTTATCCTTTGTTTATTTTTTAATAATTATCTTTTTATAAGTAACTTTTCATTTTTTTCATTTTTTCTTTTAATACAATGCAGACACGTAGTCCATTTTTTCTACTAGATAAATAATACAAGAAAACATATATGATAGAAAAGAATAGAGGAACAAATATGCACGAACTATTTTTGTTCCTTTCGATTCGTATAAACATATCCCCTTTGCATGAATTATCTAATACGAAGTGCCTCGGTCCCCACTAGATAAATAATACAATCGTATAAATAATTTTACATTACTTATTACTATTATACCTTGAATGTAAAAAAGAAATCTTATATCTTCTAAAATTTCTAATATTATGTCTATGTATAATTATTAGAGGCACGACGTGCCTCGGCCTCTCTAGTATATAAAGGGGATATTATTGTTAATAACTATTTTTGGTTTTTATTTTTACATGGACCATTTTATCCTTTGTTTATTTTTTTAATAACTATCTTTTTATGAGTAACTTTTCAGTTTTTTCTTATTTATTTATTTTTTTGTTTTATTTGAACTAATGTATAAAGGGGATACCTTTTTCGGTAACTACCTTGATCTCCACTTTTTTGGACTATTATACCCTTTTATTTTAAAAAATTAAAAAAAATATTTTTAATCAAATTTAAAAACTTCAAACTAATGAATCTATACTAATCTATAATAATATATACTAATATATAAAGGAGATACCATTTTCGGTAATTACCTTGGTCTCTACTTTTTTTGACCATTATATCCTTTTATTTTAAAAAATTAGAAATTTTTTTTAATCAAATTTAAAAACTTCAAATTAATATATAAATCTATATTAATATATAACGGAGATATCATTGTCAATAACTATTTTTTGTTTTCATTTTTATATGGACCATTTTATCTTTTGTTTATATTTTAATAATTATATTTTTATGAGTAACTTTTCATTTTTTTTATTCTTTCTTTTAATATATTGGAGACACGTAGTGCTTTTTTTCTACTAGATAAATAATACAATTGTACAAATAATTTTACAAGAAAACGTATCTGATAGAAAAGAATGAAAAGGAACAAATATGCACGAACTATTTTTGTTCCTTTCGATTCGTATAAACAATCCCTTTTACATAAATTCTCCGGTACGAAGTATCTCGCCCCCTCTAATAAAAATAATTTTATTTTATATTGAAAGAAAATAATAAACCGTACGTAAGATATAAAACAAAATATGTTTTCTCTCAGCACCTTCTTTTTTATTTTGAAGTGCCTCTACTCTTCATGAAGTTTTTGAAAAGCCTGACCGAAGCGACTTCAATTTTCCAACATTCATAATAACCGCCTTTCGAGCCTCTTACTCCCTTATATAATTCTCCTGCATTCAGACATGTCTTTCACAGTTTTTACCGTTGTTTCCAATCGTGTCTCAAAAATTTATCGTAGCGGCCCTGTCTTTCTGGCGCCGCTACCACCACCACCACACACATTTCAATTTTCCCTGTGACGCATCCATGGATAGTGTCTCGGAGTTTCCTTTGTTTGGTTCTGACCCATTTGACATTACACTTCTCCAAAACTTCCTCGAGGAGGAGGACCCACTTGTCTATTTATCCAATGATGAGGTACCCAATGAGCAGCCCCTGCAGCAACAACATGTTTCTTTTGGTGGTAGGTGTGTTTTCTTGCCGGATCCAGTGATTCAAAATCAACCAAATGGAAAAGGAGTTGCTAACTGTGTAGCGGGTTCATCATCCACCATGAGGGGTAAGGAACACATGATGCAAGATCAATTCTTGCATGATGGAAATGATAATTTTATCAATGGAGAAACATTCGGTAACTTCAGTCAACCGGAATTTGAGAATATTGGTCCACTCATTTACCAACATGAACATATGATGTCACTTCCGCATTGGCCACCGTCACCAAAGCCATTCTTTTGCAGTTGCTGTCAAGTTCTTAGACAAATAATTCACACCAATGGTAATGAAGTTTTCACTCATGTCACCATATATAGATAAATAAATAAATGGCCTCCACACTATTTTTTTGGTTTTAACTATTTATTTCCCGTTTCGATTTTCTTTAAATTTGAAATAATATATGGCAGGTTCTAGGTTTGACAAGCTTGAGATACATGGAACGATAGGGATGATTAGCCATGCAATAATCCGGAATACCACTCCGGGTGATCCTTCAAGCAATTATCAAATGGTTGAGTACGTTCTAATTAACTCATAGTCTGGGTACTACTATTTGCATGCATGTCACTCTCGAGCGCTAACTGTTATCTAAAACAATTTTTCATTGTTATTTTTTAGTTTAAAAATAATAATAATAAAATTACATTTATCTGCATTTTTTAACGGTCATTTTGTTTTGGGTGGTTACCAGTTTCTGCAACAGAAACAAAGAAGAAATTAAGAGTTTCCTAAAACAGTACTGTGAGCAGCAAAATATATTCGGGTACATTATTATGGATGATCCGTTGTCTGCGTATTATGATGCCCTCAGCACTGGAATGGATTGGGCTCAAGATATCAGTGACGAAGACGATGATTTGATATCAGGTCGGTCTTTGTCACGTTTTCTCCTCATCCATTATTATGACAATTTCATTCTTGAATCGTTATGTTTGTAGAAAATGACATGAAGCAAGATCAAGAGCCGGAGCATGAACCTGAGAATGAAATGGCTTCAAATGCTAGACGACTTCAGGTTATAGTTTTTGTTTTCTTAAGAAGTGTTGCTGCATCATGCGCATGCACGTGTGCATACATGTTTTAATCTGTTGAAAAATTGAGTTTTGACAATTAGTTGTGTCTGCCTGCATTGAATTTGACAGAGGGAGAGAGTAGCGAAGATGACATTGGGTGATTTGAGCGATTACTTCCATATACCGATTAAGGAGACAGCGAAACTACTGGAAGTAAGCACTTCTGTGGTGAAGAAAGTATGTCGCAAGGCAGAGTTATATAGATGGCCCCAAAGAAAGGTAGGTTGCTATATACTGCAATCTTTTGCTGTTTCTCTATGTGATTTGATTTGCTAACATCATGCAGTTATTGTGCTCAGGTGAAAAGTAATATGAGGAAGATCACAGTGCTCAGAAGAGGATTGGCTAATCCAGGAACAAGGGAAAAAACTCGAGTGGAAATTCAAAGACTCCAACAAGAAATGGTTGAGTATTGTGGTGGACTTGCCCCAACTGGAATAGAAATGCTCCAAGTATAGTAAGTGAGTCGGATTGAAATGTTGCTTGGAGGTGGGTTATTAGATTTTTTTAGACTGTTGTTTACATATAGTTAGACTTTCTCGGTGGTGAGCGAGTGTTTGTGTGGATAAGTGTAACTTTTTTTATGAATCCTGTAAAGTTAAGTTGTCCATACTTGAGAGTTGAAATAAACGTTATGTTTACGTTTTTTTCCCAATAAATTCTCACTACAACATTTTATATTCTGTGGAGAATATATAACCTAGCATGCATACCTTCTAATTATAGGACGTAATTTTTCAATGATTGGTTTTAAAATATGTGGTCTTGGATGCCAATTCCCAATTCTGATTCTTTGTGCCTTCCAACTGTTTCCTTTCCATTTGATATGCCTTGCACAGATTTTTACTTCCATGCATATTTATAATATTGCACAGGGTTGTATGGAAGTTGTGTATCGAATGATTAAAGAAAAAAGGTAGTTACATACATTTAAAAAAAAATGACATTTATCTTAATCAATTTATTTGTGGCCATTCTACCCAATTTAATTGGTAGTAAACTTGAAAGGTTAATTAGATATCGAAACATTGCTGCACGAACAAAACTTCAACCACCTTTTTTTAAAAATTAAATTTCAATATGATCAATTAAGAATTAATTTTAAAAAATATTTTCAAATAATTATTAATAATTGAAAATAAATTAAGGATTGGAAAATTCGGGGGAAGGTAATTGAAATTTGAAAGCATAGGTATAATTCTAATTTTTCTTATTTACATCTTTTAAACCCTAAACCCTAAATCCTATAAGCTAAATCTTAACCTTAATTGAAACTTTATAACGAATAATAACATTACAATTGATACTTTGAATACGAGAGATAAAATTACAATTCAGTTATTAGTATAGTTTTTCCATTGTTATAATTATTCCATCGAAATGTAATTAGTATAGTTTTTCATTGTTATAAAGTTCCGTGTTAAAGATATTTTCTATAAATGAAAATAAATATTTCATTTATAAATCTATACTAAATATATAATGGGGATATCATTGTCAATAACTATTTTTTGTTTTTATTTTTATATAGACCATTTTATTATTTATTTATTTTTTAATAATTATTTTTTTATGAGTAATTTTTCATTTTTTTTGTTTTTTTTAATACAATGCAGGCACGTAATGTCTTTTTCCTACTAGATAAATAATACAATCGTATAAATAATTTTACAAAAAAACATATATGATAGAAAAGAATGGAGGAACAAATATGCACGAACTATTTTTGTTTCTTTCAATTCGTATAAACATATATGATAGAAACATATTTTGTTTTATATCTTACATAGGTTTATTATTTTCTTTAAATATAAAATAAAATTATCTTTACTAGAGGGGCCGAGGCACCTCGTATTGGATAATTCATGCAAAGGGGATATGTTTATACGAATCGAAAGGAACAAAAATAGTTCGTGCATATTTGTTCCTCCATTCTTTTCTATCATATATGTTTTCTTGTAAAATTATTTATATGATTATATTATTTATCTAGTAGGAAAAAGGCACTACATGCCTACATTGTATTAAAAGAAAAAATTAAAAAAATTAAAAAATGAAAAGTTATTCATAAAAAGATAATTATTAAAAAATAAACAAAGGATAAAATGGTCCATATAAAAATGAAAACCAAAAATAATTATTGACAATGATACTCCCTTTATATATAAATTTATTAGTTTGAAGTTTTTAAATTTGATTAAAAATATTTTTTCTAATTTTTTAAAATAAAAGGGTATAATGATAAAAAAAAGTGGAGACCAAGGTAGTTACCGAAAAGAGTATCCCCTTTATATATTAGTATAGATAGATTAGTATAGATTCATTAATTTGAAGTTTTTAAATTTGATTAACAATATTTTTTCTAATTTTTTAAAATAAAAAGTATAATAGTCTAAAAAAATAGAAATCAAGGTAATTACTGAAAAGGTATTCTCTTTATATATTAGTATAGATAATTAAATTTTATATCTTTTGATGAAGAGATACAATCCTCGAAAGAGATATACTTATAACGATTAGTGAAGAGACATGTCTCACGTCTTTAAATGAAAGACACATTTTATATCTGTTGGTAAAAAGACATTCTTTCACGGATGAACCTTAGTTACCGATATCTTTTCATGAAAAATACATACTTTTATGAAAGAATATAACGTTTTCCATTTATATTTTTTATAAATAAACACAATACTTTTATGAAGAAAAAATAATAGGACAAGAATTTAAATTTAAATTTCTGTACATGCTATCTTCGTTTCGGTTAGTGACCAATATTTGTTAAAAATCTTAAACTCTAAACGTTATAATTTAGAAATAAATAAAGTTCTGGTCATAATTATTGTTTAAAAATCAACAATTTGTAATATAATAAAAAAAAATATAACAAATTATAAGTTAAAATTTCGATAGTTAGTTTTTAAAATTATAATTTATATTTTATTGTCTAAAGAGTGTATTTTATTTTATAGCAAATAAATTCAATAATTAATTAAAGCACCTTACCTTTTGTTTGTTTAGGTTTTTTTTAAGGCTTTAAATTGTATACAATATTATTGTAAAGCATTTTACACTACTAACTAATTAGAAACTACAAAGGTATCTTTTAAGTAGTTATTGATAAATTAATACATTTATTATACATGTCAATGATTGAATATATATATATATATATATATATATATATATAAACTACTGGGAAATTTTACACAAATATATGCCAATAAAATAAACAAATTAATTATCTTTTTCAATGGTTTAAGGACTATCACATTATACCATTATTTATAAATTCTATTAACATACTATACTATATAGTGTACTAGTCTATTAATAAACTTTTCTCATACCTATTATTTATTTTTATCCGTAGAAGTTACATTCATACTATCTCATTCCTTTATCGCTAACCGTATATTGATACTAGTAATGTGTAAAAAAGGAAGAAATAACCTCTTCCGTTTTTATTTATTTATTTATTTATTTTGATACGAATTAATAATACGAATTCTTTTCTTAGAAATAAAATAACAACAGATAAAATATAATTTGCCGTCGGTAACGATAATGTGGAGCTGGCCAAAGCTTGGCATTATTATGGTAAGAGTCTTATCAGAAAGGTACGAAGGACGATATTATATAAGCTAAGAAGAGAACATGCTAAAAGCATATACATGCAGATACGATACAAAAACGTTAATTAACCATTAAGATGTGGACTCAAGAAACCAAACAAAATTCTCCATAATATGAATATTTTTGCGGGGTTAACTTGGATCGAGTTTCATGGTCAAATCCTGCTTCATCTACTGGGAGGACATGGCTACTTCTGACCATCAGGCACTTGTTTGTGTGAGACAAGTGAAGCAAGAGGTGGCAGAAGAGTGGGATGAGAGCATGCCATTACCAGGGGACATCATTGAAGGGTTTTCTGAGCATGGTGCTGATGATTCCTTTTTACCTGTCAAGGCCACTTCAGAACTTAGTTCTCAGCTTGGCAAGATTAACCAGCGGGTGGAATTCATATGGATAAAGGTTAGAAGAGGTGATACCTTAGTGAAACTCCAAGCACGCGTTGTGCAGCAGAGGGGTTCCATACTTCAAAGGAAGTATACTATCCAAGCTGCAACAGATAACAGACATGTTGCAGAATTAGGGGATCTGACATTAGACCAGTGCAATGAACTGCAGGGTACTCTTTTCATCAAGTCTTCATATTGGAACCATCAAGTTATTTATTCTTGTCCATGCTTTATTAAACACTAATTAACACACATACACATATATCAGAAGGGTAGTTATTTATTCTTGTCTATGTTTAGAGGGGATTAATTTGAAGCTCAAGATAATTATATATTCTTATACATGCTTAATATACTATTTGAAATTAATTAGAATATACCGATAATACAAAGAATTTTTATTCTGTCATTTAATGTTATATAACTGGAAAATGTTGTCATGTGTAATAGTTACTTTAAAAGTAATTACTTTAGCATGATTTCTTATTAATTGACAATAGTAAACTTCTTGTATCAAAATTAAACTCATTCTTTAGCAACCTCAGAAGGATCTTCTGCTACTTGAAAATTCTTTAACAACCTGAAGATACCTGAAAATATTATATAATTGAAAATTGTTGGCTTTTGTCAGTAAGAATTACTTTAAAAATCATATTCAGGGGATTTCTAATTAGTTGACATTTTTACGTTTCAAGTGTATCAAAATTAAACTCATACTTTAACAAGCTAATTAAGAAGGATCTTTTTCGACATGAAAACTTTTAATGCAATTGTGGCAGCAGTTAAACATTGTGAGTTGTCTCTAATTTGCAGAAATGAGCAGGAGAGTGAACAAGAGGGGCAGAGAATTCCGCAGAAGTGGGATGAATTATGACTGGAAAATGAAAGTAGCCACCTATATGCCTGATCAATGCTGTTCTGTAATAAGCTCCATTCTGTTTATGCCCCTAGCTAGTGAGTACTGCATCCATACTACGACAGCTAGGTGCATGGCATGGTTTAGTGCAGCAATTTCCTCTGGGGTCCCTCTTGTTTTTGTCAATATCCAAACAGAACTAATTCCCTCCACGGTAATAAATTCTTAATTTATTTCATATTTATAAGCTTGAAATTTTGCCATGTTAGTATTGGTTGAGAAATCTCAAGTAGCTTAGTTAAGATATATAATGAACTAATAGTAGATCAATTTCAACCCCACTTGTACCGCAGGGGGAAACTCATTTCTGGAAAAGGGAAACAGCTACATACAAACAAAAAATAAACAACGCTACCCAAATAATGCATGGTATAAGGCTGTGGTTTCTACCAGGACTAGCAGAAATTTCATTCGTGTTAGTCCCTCGACCTAGAGAGGTGCGCTTTGGCATGGAAATTAAACGAACTGAAGAGGTACGTGCTTAATACTAATTTCTCCTCAAAATGTGTTACTAAACTACTGGTATCGGCTTAGTGATGAGATTGACATAGTATATGTAAGATCTTAGGTTTGAACATTACTGCCGTCATGTCATTATTGTAATATTTTATATTGATAAAAAAATTGTTTTACTAAAAGGTTTACGTACGTGTGCAGGGCTTTGTGTGCATCTATTCAGTGATTACAGGTTCAGCAGCTGATCGTGCTGGAATGAGACAATTGTATGAAGAGTCAAGTGCAAGTGGGTTTCTTCTGGTGATATCACGGTTGCAATGCAAGAGCATAATGCCAAGCAATGCTTGTTCTGGTGGTCTTGTTCATTGCTGCGACCAATCTGAAATAAAGGAGATTCTGAGTTCAGCTATAGAGCAATATGAGACGATTCAGCTGCATGTCATGGCCTGGCCAAACCAAACTCGTCCCATTCCAACTCCTGCGGTTGGTTTTGCCAACCTGCTACCTCCTAAATCAGAGTCATGAACCTGTATCTTCAAATTAATTCTTTTTTCCATCAACTCAATGCGATTGAATTTGTTTAATTTTAGTCGTTATATGATCACTTCATTTGTTTTTTAATACCCTTAACTTATATCATCACAAAATAGAATTTGTTAATGTAAAACCACTACAAACTTTATGGTCGTTCAATAACCCTGAAAAAATTAGTCTCTAAAAGCACATAAGGTTCCCAAGCCATGAATGTTTTTTATGTGACTGATGTATCTGGAAATCCAGTTAAGAATGAAACAGCTGAAGCAGTTCGAAAAGAGATTGGTTTGACCATACTGTAATCCTACGATGATGTCTATCTAATGAAGTTTTATTCTTGAAACTAGTGTACTTCCATAAATAGGAGCTATCTGTAATGTTCTAATTTTTAAACAGTAGCTTAGTTTAGCCTAAATAAACTGCTTTGATTCCATTGCAATGCTTTATATGGTAGAATTTTCCAGATTTGGTGTAAGTTGTAATTAGTGTCAGATTGTAGAGTTTGATCTAGACATATTTCTAAGTGAATTGTATATTAATGTCTTTGTTACATCTTCTGAGAATGTAATTAGATGCCAAGCATTCAGGCACTTGAAATGTAAGTACATGCCAGTGAAAAATCAACAGCAGCAAAAGAAATTCATACTGGCTAACGGTTCTTCTGTCACAGGGATGAACTCCCTGTATGAGGAAAAAAATGAATAAATTTGTAAGGTCCATACCCCACATGCCAATGTTAATAGCAAGCCTTAGGAACCTTGTGAAAAATAAAAAAAAGTACTGAAAGTCTGAAACTGTCTTTTGCTCATTAAAGGTAGGTAGGTTTATTTTATTTTATTTTATAATTTTGTAGTTGGAAAAAAAATGAACCGATTGCATACGCCATATGCACCCAACGGCTTTTTCCCTTTCTGAATTTTGGTATCAAATTCTTTTGGTTTCTGTTGGAAATCCTTCTTAAAAGAATTTTTAATTCTATTAATGTAAAAATATTCTGAATGCCCTCTTCCCTTTAGAAATAAAATCCCAAATTTATAATTGGTTTGCACGCAGTGTCATATATGAGAATGAGAATGAGAATGAGAATGAGAATGAGAGAAGGATTTTACTTGGTCAAATAATCAACTCTCACTCTTACTAAAAATATAAGATATTTTGCTTATATCTCAATAATTGAGTTAAAATTCATTATTACTATTTGGTTATCAATAAGTTCCTAGAACTACTTCATCTATTCAAGTATCAATAAATTCAAAGTTGAAAAAAATTCAAGGGGCAGGAGAATCATTTAGTTTATGCATTATTGAGCAGCTTAAAAATGTATCAATTTTTTTTAAAGCTTACTAAAGATGTTTGAAATGTAGCAGAATTTTAAAATTGTCTAATTACTTCCTATTATAAATCTACTAAATTCTCAGTAACTTCGTCTCCATACTGTTTCAATTCAATTGCAAAGCACAAGAAGTCGGTGTTTGTATGCAGAGGATGACAAATTACCTCAGACATATCATCATCAGCTACCCCATCAGAATATGAGGGAGATGGAAGAGAGTAAGAACTCCCTTTCATAAGGGATTACATTAACCAAAAATAAATGAGTTTTCCCACGAAATGAGATCAACTACAGGATCAAATAATGTCATAATATTCTATCATAAACATGTCTATAAATTATTGACCTATAAATCTTTTTCTATGGACTACCCTTTTCTTGACCCACTCTCCTTACTAAAGCTTCTATAGGTGCAACCTAAGTAAAACAGATTGCTGGCCTGCAAGACATCGTAGCATTTTCCAAAACATAAGTAGTACTAGACCAAAAATCATACAGTAAAAAATAGTTGATCGGAAAAATTAGAATTATTCATCAGCATAAAGCATAATTATGTATTCATCCCCCAAAAAGTGAAAGTCAACGTAGCAAAATGCCAAATGACGACGGAAGCGGTTAACGTAACTCCGTTAATTTTTTATTCTAACTTAAATTAATTCGTTCCTTGTTTTGAAGTGTCTCTTCTCTTCAATTTATCATAATTTTCCAAAAGCCCGACTGAAGTGACTTAATTTTTGCAACTGTCATTAACCGTTTCTCGCGCCTCTTACTCCCCTATATAGTTCCTATTCGGACATGTCTTTCACTATTTAGTAACAACTCAGTCATGTAGCGGCGCTGTTTCTTTGGCGCCGCTACTATCAAACACATTTTCATTAAACGCAACCATGGATAATAATAACTTTGGCTTTGTTTCCTACGATGATGAAGATCCATTCCTTTGTCCACTTATTCCAAACTTACTTGTCGAGGTGGACCCCTCACTAGTCTTACCCAAGGCACAGCCCCACCAACAAAATGATCATCCTTTTGGCCTTCAACACGGTAATAATGTTCCCTTCACCATCCAAGATCAATTCATGCAGGACAACAATAATAATGGAGAAGTTGCAAACTTTGACGTTGAGAGTAGGGGCCAACAAACCATGCATGTTGATGGCAGTAATAATATTTCCAATGAAGGAGGAGTTGGTAATTTTGAAATTGAGGGTAGGGGCCAAACCATGCATGGTGATGGCAGTAATAATATTTTCAATGAAGGAAGAGTTGGTAACTTTGAAGTTGAGGGTTATAATAATATCTTCAATGAAGGAGGAGTTGGTAACATTGAAGTGAGGGATACATCAACGATGAGGCACCAACCCATGCACCATCATTTTTCCAATGGAGGTGTTGGTAACTTAGAAATGAGGGGTGGGTTTCCATCGAGGCAACGGAATCAAACTCAGCCACCAAATGAGAATATGGCTCCACCGTTCCACCAAGGAGTGACCTCAGTTTCGTATTGGCCCCTAATACCAAGGCCATTCTTTTGCACTTGCTGTCAAGTTCTTAGACAAATAATTCACACAAATGGTAATTAAATTTTCAACCATGTCACCAAAGATAAATAAATAAAATGCATAATTTTTTCTTCCCTTTTTCACTTTCTTAAATTTTATATATGTATCGCAGGCGTTCAGTTTGAGAAGCTTGAGATTCATGGAACGATTGGGGTGATGGGGCATGCTATAATCCAGAACCGGAACATAACACAGGGTGATCATCCTTCAAGTGACCCTCATCAAATTATTGAGTACGTGTTATCTACAGCAAAGTTTCACTGTTATTTTTTAGTACTTAATTTTTGTCTGCATTTATCAACCTTCACTTCGTTTTGGGTGTGGTGTGGGGATTATATATTTTCAGTTTCCACTACAGAAGCACAGAACAAATAAAGAGTTTCATGGTAGAGTACTGTACACAGATGAGTAAATTAGGGTATATTATTGTGGAAGATGTGTTGTCTACTTATTATGAGATCCTCTGCACTGGAGTGGATTGGGCTAAAGATACTAGTGACGAAGACATTGATTTGATTCCATGTTGGTCTTCTCTTCATCTCTTTGTTACATTTTCTCTTCAACTTGAACCATTACAATTTCATTCTTCAATCGTTAATGATGAGTTTTGAATGGTTATGTTTGTAGCAAATGACATGGGGCAAGATTTTGAGCCCGAGCCTCAACCTCAGCACGAGCCCGAGCCTGAGGCCGTGAACTTGAAAAGGAAAAGGAGACGACCTGATGCAGAGCAGGTTAAATATACTTTTTTCTGTTTTGTTTTGGAAGTGTTGCATGCGTTTGCATGAATGTTTTGTTTTGAGTTTTGACTGAGTAGTTGTGTTGGGGCGCAGAGGAAAAGAATAAAAGCTATGAAATTGGAAGATTGCAGCGATTATTTCCATTTAACCATTGGAGCCGCAGCGCAAAAACTGGACGTATGCATCTCTGCCTTAAAGAGTCTATGCCGCAGGAATAATTTAGAAAATTGGCCCCATAGAAAGGTTCCAATGCTTTAATTAATTTTTTTTCTTTTGGTATTTGATTTGCTATGAATATCTCTCTCTATATATATCCTTAATTTGCTGAACATGATCATATATGGGTCAGTTGACAAGCAATATGAAGAAGGTGGCAGTATTAAGAAGAGCATTGGATTCACCGGATTCAAGGACAAGGACAATAGCTAGAGAGCAAATTAAAATACTTCAAGACGAAGTACTTGAGTTGTGTGTTGGAATTACACCAACTGGAATAGAAATGGTACAACTCTGATGGATATATAAGTGGACCTAAGATTGTTATGGAGAGGACAAGTGGTGCCTGCGGGTTATTACATTTTGATTTTGTTTAGATTTTGTTGCTTTAGTGGTGAGTTGTGAGTGTGAATGTTGTTTGTGTGATATTGATTGGAATTTCCTTTTTACTACAGTGTGTTATGTAAGGTATATATGAGTTGAAATGAAAGAAAGTGTTTTTAATAAGAGCAACTTCACGGTACCAACACAAATATTACCCAATCTATTAATTTGGTCATCAATTAATGTTTTTTTTCCTTTCCATTAATAGAAAACACACATACGATTAAAATCTCAACAAACTTAAATTATGTCTAAACCTTATCTCTTAAAATTTCAAAACTTTAATTCTCTTAAAATCAAGTGAATAATATGTAGATTGATAATGTATTAAAACTGCTACATAAATTCAAGTTACCTTTTTAATTTATTTTTTTCACCACTCTACCAGGGGAAAAAAATGATAGTCTTGTATTAAGAAATAGAAAAAGTCAACATCAAATTTCGAACGGTCGGCGGGTTCAATCAAATATCCAAACCCAAAGGTGTTATTTTGGAGCGAAAAAGAAGAATGGCAAATTGAGGAGTGTTGGGACTTAATGGGTGAGCTATCCCGGAACGGCGCCATAGCGAAAGCTTGTTCAGGCACAGGACCTCCATTAATCCGAAACCTGTCCCTGGTAACCTCCATTACCACAATCCTCCAAAACCTAAACCCCCAAAACCCAGACTTGTCACCCCTTAAAAAGTTCTCCCCTCACCTCACCCCAAACGTGGTCATCCACGTCATCAAGAACCTAAACAGGCACCCCCACCACGCCCTTCACTTCTTCAACTGGGCCTCCGATCACTACTCCCACCCCCCCTCCTGCTACGCCGCCATCACCCACCTACTCCTCTCCCACTCCCTCTTCTCCACCGCCTACTCCCTCCTCCGCCGCTCCAACAACCTCTCCGACTCCCTCATCTGCACATTCATCAACGCCCTCGGCCACCGCGGCGACATCAGAGGCGCCATCCACTGGTTCCACAAAGCCAACACCTTTCTCAAAGGACGCTGCTTGTTCTCCTGCAACGCCGTCTTGGCTGTTCTCGTGAGGGCCAACCGTGTAAACATCGCCAAGGCCATCTACGATCAGGTCCTCGCACAAGGTTTGCTCCGACCCGATGTCTACACTCACACCACCGTCATTCGCGGCTTGTGCAAAGTGGGCTTGGTCGAGAGTGCGCGCAAGGTGTTCGACGAAATGCGCTGCCAACCCAACATGGTTACTTACAACACCTTGATCCACGGCTTTTGCAGGAAGGGTGACATGGAGGCTGCAAAGAGCGTTTTTGACAGGTTGGTGGGGAGTGAGAGTTGCAAGCCCGATGTGGTGAGTTTCACCACTTTGATTGATGGGTATTCCAAGAAAGGGGAGCTCCGTCAGGCGCTGAGGTGGTTGGAGGAGATGGTGCAACGAGGGTGTTCCCCCAACGTTGTGACCTACAATGCGTTGATTGAAGGTCTTTGCTTGAGCGGGGAAGTGGATGGGGCCAAGAAGATGATGACCAGGATGCGGTTGAATGGTGTAAGAGACAATGTGGCCACGGACACGAGCATGTTGAAGGGGTTTTGCATTGTGGGGAAGTCTGATGATGCTTTTAAGCATCTGAGGGGAATGATTAGTCGCGGGAGGAAGCCGGATGTGAAAGCGTATAGTGTTGTTGTCAATGAGTATTGCAAGATTGGAAAACCAAGTGAGGCAGTGTCCCTTCTGAGGGAAATGGTGGCGACGGGTGTTAAGCCAAGTGTGTCGAGTTTTAATGCGGTGTTTAGAGTTTTTGTGGATGAGGGGAAGGTTGATGAGGGATTTTTTCTTTTGAAGCAGATGCCTCGGATGGGATGCTCACCCAACTTCTTGTCTTATAGCATAGTTGTATGTGGTCTTTGTAAAGTGAAGGGTAGGATGCAACAAGTTGAAGAGCTTGTTTCGGACATGGTTCGGAATGGACATAACCTGGATGCCACTGTGTATAACTGCTTGCTCGAGGGATATTGTGAGGAAGGGGATGAAGAAATGGCACTAAAGACGGTTTATGACATAATGGACAAGAACTTTGTGATCAACCAAGACACTTTCTGCAGTTTTTTGAAGGGGTTGTGTGCGAAGGGAAAATTGAAAGAGGCGGAGACACTGTTTGGGGAGATGCAGAGGAGATCCCAGTTGAGTGGAAAACTTGAGTCAACCGGAGGAATATTAACGTGATATGATAATGTTCGGTCAATGGAATTCTTGCAGAGGTATTTAGCCCCTAAAAACTATGGCGCATTGTGGGAGGGGTCTGCTTAATCCAGCACTGCAGGTTTAAAGTTCATTATATAGAGTGCTTGGGTTGAAACTCTCGTTTACCATCAAGTCCGGGATGGTTGGTGTGGTCTGTTTACTGATTGGGTTTGGATAGAAGTGGAGAACAATTGATCCAACTCAATAGATCAGTAATGGAAATAGTTATGATATAACTAGCGCTATAGTATATTTTTTTTATTATTCATTTCAGCTTGTTTCTTCTTTTTTTTTACTAGTTCTTAATTTATTTATTTTTTGCAAGTTGGTTTTTTTTTATTACTGTTTTTTGATAAATAAGCATATTAAAACTTATAAATAACCGATTGAATTATAAGCTAATAAACTAATTGATAAATGGCATAAAACAATTTTTATAATGAGAAAGGGGGACTGACATGATAAGTAGAATAATTTTTAAATAAAAAAGAGGATAAAACATTATTTGAACCAAATTAACAAAGATAAGAGAGAGAGAGAAATTATGAATTTATAAGTTTTTCAATTAGTTTATGAAAATAAGATATGAATTTTTAAAATAAATTTTCATACTAGATAAACTTATTTTGTTCAAGCTAAGTTATATATTAATCAAAGGAGCTTATAAATTTTACAAATGTAGATAAGAGAGAGAGAGAAAAATTATGAATTTATAAATTATAAGTTACTTCAATTAGTTAATGAAAATAAGATATGAATTTTTAAAATAAATTTTCATACTAGATAAACTTATTTTGTTCAAGCTAAGTTATATATTAATCAAAGGAGCTTATAAATTTTACAAATGTTTTACCAAACACACTATGACTTTTTCACTTAGAGTTTAAAATTTTTAAAATTGCAATGCTAATTATTACAGAACATTTGATAAGAAAACTTTTTATTTTTATTTTTATAAATTATACTTTTAATCCTCCTATAATATTCAATTTGTAAATGTGGTCTTCCAATTTTTAAATCCACAATTTTGATTTTCTAATTTTTAAATCTACAATTTTAGTCTTCCAACTTCATAACACTCAGAATTTTGGAAGGAATATTTATCTATTATTGTTAAATTTGTAAATTACATAATAATTGATATTTAGTAATATTTAAGTTAAATTATATTTTTGGTCCTTTGTCTTATTTATTAAGTTTATTCTAGTCTTTTATGTTTTAAAATATTTATTTTTATCATTTATCTCTTAAATTTAGATCAATTTGATCCTTTTAAAATAATGATTATTTTTAATTTTGTAATGTGGTTTTGGGTCATTTTTTTAATTGATTCAAAACTTAAAAATTATCTTATTAGATTCATTGAAGTTTGAATAAAAAAGTGTTACAAATATAGTAAAAATTGCATAAAAATAAGTTCAAAAGGAAATTAAAAAGTTTGAAAATATATTTTCATACATTTTTCACACAATTTTTACTGTGTTTACAATTTTTTTGAACTTTAATGTCAATTGATTTTTATAATTTTTATATAATTGAATTTAATGTTATAAATTTTACGTCTTGCATCTGTAAAAAATTAACTTAAAATTGTGTTACAAAATTAAATTTATTATTATTTTAAAAATATCAAATTGATCCAAATATAAAAGATAAATAAATAGAATTAACATTTTAACATACAAAGGACTAAAAAAAATTAAAAAATAAAATATAGGACAAAAAGTATAATTTAACATAATATTAAGCTAAATTTTACTTTTAGTTCATTTTTTTTTTCATGAAAGTGGTAAAGTAAGATGCAAATGAGATAAAAATAGAAATTAAAATTATAATTTAGTTTAAATATTATTAAATATTAATTATCACATTATTTACTTAATGTTAGGTTATGTCTGACATTACAATTTAAGCGATAATATGAATATTTGACAAGTGGACCAAAATTGTAAATTTTATAAAATTGAATGACCAAAATTACATAATTAATAATTAGAGAACTAAAATTGTGAGTATATATAAATCAAAAGTGCAATTTAACTAAACTTTGAACAAATGTTTTTACTGTCATGGCATTGGTATATTCGACCCATTAGATCAAAGATTAATCTCGCTTATGATATTGTGACTATTATTGACTCATAAAGTTTTTGCACTTGAAAATGATCAAACAAAGAACTTTTGACTAAATACATCCTCTCTACAATTTGTGACTATAGAGTGCACCAACCAACCATGTCAAACAAGTGTTTTAATATATTTTGTTCACACACACACACACACACACATATATATATATATACCA